ACCATGACTCATCCAACAGGAGTAGCCAGGGAAAATCCATGCATCCCTTCAAGTCATCTATAAGTGGCCAGGGAAAAGCCATTCACCGCCTAAGGACCTTCTCCGCCAATCTTAGGGTCTTTTTTTTTAACTCATTGCGTCCTAGATTCAGACTTTCTCCCCTCCTCTTCCTATAATAAAAATAAAAAATGAAATTGAACTCTGAATAATATACTCTTTACTTATTGGAAAAACTCAAGTACTTCCTTTCAAAACTATTCTTGCTGATATTTTTCTCCTTTTGGAAGCATGAAGGTGCTACATTAACTGACACACCTCGATCCAAATCAAGGCGTGCTGGCCATCACGTGGGACCAAGGCATGGCCACACGCATGGCCATGCGTAGGCACGCGCCTGGCACGCCGTTAGGGGTTCCGTCCAGCGTGCCAGGCACATGCTTGCACGTGGCCATGCGTGTGGCCGTGCCTTGGCAGGCGCGTGACAGCGCGTGGGACATCGGAAATTTTTTCTAAAAATATGGGGATGTTCGTGGGGTTGAGTAAGCCATGATGGTATATTCAAATACCCCAATTGAGCAACATATGAGAAGTTATTACCTAGTTTTGTATATGTGCTTAAAAATAATGTTAAAATAGTTGTTTCGCATATAGGTGAGACGTTTCCAGAGGACGAGCGCAGTCAGGCAAGGCTCGGGGGTTACGCTGCCACATATCAATGAGTGGGCTTTTGGTTTTCAGTATATATATACATATATATATATATATATTTCCCCAGAAAATGTGTTTAAATGGACTTGTGTTTTAAAATGCCATGCCAAATGTTTTATATTTAGAATATGCATTTAGTAGTTGCACATAATTATGTTTGACGTTGCGAACGCTCAGGTAAGTTCCAGGTGAGTTTATAGATTGTGGAAGTAAGTTGCATGATTATGCTGAGATGTATCTATAGCTCATAACCTGCACCCCGGTGTTGGTGCTCCCGTCCGTGGTTAGGGTACAGTCCTTCACGTGATGTTCACCTCCCGCACCATACACTTACCTTGGATCCAAGTTAGGTGCACAGTCCTGTCGTACAGACCACTATAGGTGGTTCCCACTCGTAGGTGACCCACAATCATTCGCACAGCCTTCACGTGATCATAACACTTGAGCGTATTTATTTACACCCAGTTCTGTCGTACAAACCACTTTAGATGGTTTCGACTCATGTGTAGGCATACTTGTTAAGCTATTGGTTGAGTCGTACATGTCATATCAGATGACTCCGGCTAGATGGATGAGCTATAGATTCAGCCGTACAGGTCATATTAAGTGACTCCAGTTGACATACCATTTGCATTGATTTATATCACCTGGCTTACATATTTTATGCTGAGATATTTGACATGGCATATATGTGGATTTTGCTATTCCGAGCATGGTTTTGATATACGTATGTATTCTATTTTTTGAGAAATTATACAGGTTTTACAGCGAGAGGTTATTACCTTTGATAAGTGAAATGGTTTTGAAAAGTTTTGTTTTTACCCACTCACACTTCCTGTTTTGCGCCCCTCTAGGTTTTAGGTAGGAGTGCTTGTTGGTGGCTTACGAGGAATTGACGGCGGTTCTAACAGATTATCACTAATGTAGGACCACCTCTGGTATTGTATAATTAGTACTTGTCCTGTTGGACTGCACTTAGGCTACCTATGCTCTGATTATGGTGTATCACACTTAAATATCGGGATTGCACTTATATTTGCTTAATGTAAATTAGCTAGCTTGGTTCTTAGTTATTCACATTTCTTTATATCATTATCATTTCTGCACTGCGCACATGGCTACGTCACTCTCACCTGATGGCCAGCACGCCTTGATTTTGGTTTGGATGTGTCAGTTTGACCAAGCCCTCACAATTTTGTTTTTGGGAACTCACACGAGAACTTCCCAGTGGATCACCCATTCTGAGAATGCTCTTGCACGAATTCGCTTAACTTCGGAGTTCCTACGGAACCCAAAGCCAATGAGCTCTCAAAAGGCCTCGTGCTAGGGTGGAGTCGAACCCTAAATGTAGTGAGGGCCCGGACCGGAATGTGACATTAATTGCAAGAAAGATAACCCAAACCGTACGTAGAGTTACGCTAACAATTGTAATGAAAATGTAACAAGGCAGTCGTATATGAGGGTGCGGGTGGATCACCTTCTTTTTAGAGTATGCAGAAGTTGGTTAGGAGCTGTTGTTCAATAACCCAATACACAAAGGCATGAAAGTCGAAAGGCTACACCAAAATACCTTTTTTTTCCTTTTATGTTTTCTGGATATTTTATACAAGAACTTTACGAGCATAGAATGATTTTTGTGTAATTATTGTCAATGAACATATTATGAAGTGTGGTTACAATATTTCGTAACTTTTAAGTGTAACAGAATATTAATAGAGGTAGGGATACATGTATGTGATCTAATTTTTCAATATTTTAGTCGTTTATTTTACATTATATTGAATACAACATAATATTATAAATTTCTGACCAGAAACTTGTCAAGTTAGATAGATTTGCAAAAGGATTGGTTAAGACATGATCCTTATCTCCATAATACAACTATGCTTTACTAAATACTATGGAAAGGTTGATTTTGTTTTTGTTTTTAGAAACCACAACCAACTTTAGTTTAACTGTTGGGTAAAAACTCAAGTTCTAAAAATAAAATAAACTAACAATTATTCAACTTTTTTTTTTTTTAAAGTCCAACAATTATTTAACTATCAAAATAGCAAAAAATATTTTTTTATTTGGAATAAAGTTAATTAGCTTTCTTTTACATTCTTTTTTTCTTGTTATTTTATACACTAGCAGAGAGCACACATTTTGTGTGTATGAACAAAATAGGTATATGATTGTCATTTTCTAAAAAATTGAGGGTAAAATAGGAAAAATAGGGATATGATTGTCATTTGGTCAAAAGGTACAAATTAAAGCCTCTTCAACCATCCACCTCCTCCCACATTCTCCTCAAGCGCAACTGCTTCAGTTCATTCAAACTATCCAAAAAACATCATGATTTCACTTACATGTATGAAAAAATGATGGTGGGATAATTTCTCTTAATAAGTGCATATTTTTTATCTTATGTAAATATTTCAATCTAAAATTACAATTTTGCCCTCCTTATTGTAAATATTGTGTATCAAAAGTAAGGGCAAAATAGGGAAAAAAGGGAAAAAAGTTCAAAAGATACAAAAGTACTATTTTGCCCTCCTCATGTCAACATTGTGTATTCAAAAGTGAGGGCAAAATTGGAAGAAAAGGGGAAAAAGTTCAAAAGATACAAAATTACTATTTTGCCCTCCTCATGTCAACATTATGTATTCAAAAGTGAGGTCAAAATTGGAAGAAAATGGGGGCAAAAAGTTGACAATCCCTCTTCTCTTAATAGAATAGATAACTAACATTTTATCGCATGCTCATGCGTGTAGTAGTTTCCTTTTTACATGCTATTCTTTACTTGTAATTTTTAAACTTTTTATTTTTGTTTCAATTATTTTTTATTTAAAAATTAAAGAAATAATGGAAAAAAAGCTGCCCACTGCGACAGTAATTTTATTCTATTAGTTTGAATTAAAAAAAATTTAATTCTTTTATTTTAAATCCTAATTAGACAGGTATATGTTTGGATTATGAATGATTCACTCTTGTTGCCTTTTGACTTTACTTATTTTAAAATCGTAACTAGGGAGGGATATTTTTTAAATTACGAATGACTCAACCTGTTTGCCTTTATACAATCATATGCCATGCATGTGTTTATAAATTTTGAAAATAAAATTTACAAAGAGAGAAACTATGAAACGGTTGCCAAAGATTTTGGGTGACGATCATCAAATGATTTTTTATCACTGAAGAGGTTGTTCATATCTTTGGCGACTGTTTCCAGATAACTATTTCGTCACCAAAAGTTTATTTTATTTAGGAGAAAAACGTGGAAGAGAAAATGAGCGAAACTGATATGGTTACTTGGCTGTGAGGCTATGAAAAGAAGCAATAAAATTATTTTGCGTTCAATTTACTATATCGTTTATAACTTTTATTTTGGTCATTTTTTTAGTTTTTTTGGTAGGGTTTAATTTGGTATTTTCACCCTCTCTTGGTTAAAAAGAAAAGTTTTGTCAATAAACTGTATAAATATAGATTAATTTTTAATTATTTTACACTAACAATAATTTGTTTAATTATAACAAAAAATATTTTTATGTAAATATGAAATAGTATAAATATTAGTTGGAAAATTGTGGATAACTGATCTAACGGTAACAAGGCAAGAAAATTAGCAAAAATGAAAACAAAAAGGGAGCTGTGAGTTGTGGGCTGTGACTTGCAAGGCTGTATTGGATATTTTGAGCAAAGACAAAATAAAAAGAAAAGAGGAGGAAAAAGAAAAACGGAAAGAGAAAAGAAAGAGGAGGTTTGTTTTCTGTTTTCTGTTTTCTTTTTTTTTTTTTTCTTTTCTTTTTTTTTTTGAATTTAAAGAGAAACAAAGAAAACAAAGAGAAGGAAGAAGATAGAAACAAGGATTTTTAGAGAGAGAAACAAAGGCCTCTGTGAAAGAGCTTTGACTCTCTCTCTCTGTGCAAATCCATGGCATTTTCACACCTTCAATTCCTACTCCTTTCATATTCTTCTTCCCCTTCCCAAATCTTTGGTTTCTTGCATTAATTTACCTTGAAATCTCATCTGGGTCTCCTTCAAAATTCCAAAATTTGAAAAAACCGTAGGTGGGTTTTCTTCTTCTGTTACATTTTCCCATCTTTTGATTGTTTTTGTTTTGTTTTGTGTTTCTATATTAAGAATCAAGGATTTCTTATTTGTTTCTGCATGAATATTCCACATTTATAAATTTGGTTTCTGCCAAAACTAAAAATCTTGGAGCTGGAAATGTTATGGAACCCAAATGTGGAATTTGCCATTAATTTTCTCTGATTTTTTTTTTCCGTAATTTGCCGTTTCAAATTTTAGTTTATTGACCTTTTTGCTCAATTAGGTCCTCAAGAAATCTTGAGAAAAGATTGGAATTTGTGAAAATTTTTAGGGTTTGATTTCATGGGAAATTGTTGTGTAACCCTTGGCACACCTGGCCAGAATAAGAACAAGAACAACAACAAGAAGACAAACCCATTTGCAACAGATTTTGGTGGCATTAATGGAAAAGATGGTGATGGCAAGCTATTGGTCTTGAAAGACCCCACAGGTCGAGACATTTCGGCCCAATATGATCTAGGACGCGAACTTGGCCGAGGTGAATTCGGGGTAACATATCTGTGCACAGAGACATCCTCAGACGAAAAATTTGCGTGCAAATCAATATCAAAGAAGAAGCTTAGAACAGCCGTCGATATTGAGGATGTGAGGAGGGAAGTTGAGATAATGCAACATTTGCCTCCACACCCAAATATTGTGACATTAAAGGACACTTATGAAGATGATGATGCGGTTCACATTGTGATGGAGTTATGTGAGGGTGGTGAGTTGTTCGACCGCATTGTTGCTAGGGGTCATTACACAGAACGTGCTGCTGCAGGCGTAATGAGGACGATTGTTGAAGTAGTTCAGGTTGAGTTTTGTTATGGTTCTGTTGTGTTATTTGGTTTGGTAATACCAATGGTTCTGAAATTTGATAGTTACATGCTTATATTAGATTTGATATAAGCATAGTTGTCATTTGTTATATTCTTGTTTAGGGTAAAGGTGATTCGTATAACATTCTATGAACTTTAAATGGTAAATGGAGAACCATAAGGTGAGTTGAATGTCCTCCGTCCATTTTTATTGAATATTCTCTATATTCACTTCAGCAGTTGGCTGTGGTGCTATATGTTCTGTTATTTGGTTTAAATTTCTCACTATTGGTTGTTAAATAGACGGACAATACATTCATTGTGTTTCATTCACTTAAATGTTCTTTTAGGTGATATTTTGCTGACATTTGAACCTTAAACCTTTGTATATAATAACATGTTGCAGCTTACTATAATATGACTAGTTCATGTGCATTTGAAGATATTTGTCCTTGCCTAATACGTCTCTTTCTCCTCTCTCTTTTTACGTGTTAGATTGAATATCTACTAATTCTATCTTTGCTGACACTAATATTGATCTTTGATTTTCTGTGACTTGGTGATGATGTCTACTCTTTTTTGTACCTATGTTACTATTAATTATTCTGATTTATTTATGTGCATCTTTACGTTGCAGATGTGTCATAAACACGGAGTAATGCATCGTGATCTCAAACCAGAAAACTTCCTATTTGCAAATAAGAAGGAAACAGCCTCTTTGAAAGCAATTGATTTTGGACTGTCTGTGTTCTTTAAACCTGGTATTGCACTGCTTTAATATTGCCTGTTTAATGATTTTTTTTTTGAAATTCTGTTTTATCATCATATATCATCTATATTTTTTCGGTTATTATGAAAACAGTGTAGCTAAAGGTTGTCATATTCCACAGGTGAGCAATTTAATGAGATAGTGGGCAGTCCTTATTACATGGCTCCAGAGGTTTTGAAGCGCAACTATGGACCCGAGGTTGACATCTGGAGTGCTGGGGTTATCCTATATATTTTACTTTGTGGTGTTCCACCTTTTTGGGCAGGTTTGTGTCTCGTCCTATATTTCTATCTTTATTCTTTACAACTACTATATGGGGTTGTAATGTTTTTGCTTATCAAAGATCCATGATTTACATCAACTTGAACAAAAGTGTGCCTGCTAGTGTATTCATTTGCTTAGTTTATTAGTATTTCTTTCTCATAATGTTCAAAAAATTTCAACTGTAGAAACTGAACAAGGGGTAGCACAAGCAATTATTCGATCCGTCATTGATTTCAAGAGGGACCCTTGGCCTAGAGTTTCTGATAATGCAAAGGACCTTGTGAAGAAAATGCTTGATCCTGATCCAAAGAAGAGGCTGACAGCCAAGGAAGTGCTTGGTAATTATACTAATATGATATCATCCGTTTACCAAACATTTATTGCCTTACATGACATGGTAATCCCAATTCTTTTCATGTAGATCATCCTTGGATACAAAATGCCAAGAAGGCCCCAAATGTCCCTCTTGGGGAAACTGTGAGAGCAAGGTTGCAACAGTTTTCCGTAATGAACAAGCTGAAGAAAAGAGCTCTTGGGGTAAGGTTTTGAGTTTACTTATTAGCGTGCATAATAATTGAAGGGTTTGATGTTGGCTACTTGTATGTTGTGTTAAAGTTGGCCCTATATTCTATGTCTGAACTCTTGAATATTTCATCCATAGGTCATAGCTGAGCATTTGTCAGTTGCGGAAGTAGCTGGCATAAAAGAGGCTTTTCAAATAATGGACACTGGTAACAAGGGCAAGGTAACCATAGAAGAGCTACGAAGTGGGATACAACAGTTAGGGCAAAATATTTCTGATCCAGATCTTCAAATACTAATGGAAGCTGTAAGTATCAATTTGTGCTTCGCTAACTTGCCTTCTTACTTGTCAACTGAGGTTTGGATGATAAATTGCCCAACTCTGCACCATGTTACATCCTGATAAACAAACTAAAAACACTAAAATAATGGAAAAAAAAGAGGGAAAAAAAACGTTTCACGAGAGAAAAGAGAGGGGTTGGTTCAACATGTTAGTTCCTTTGGGGTTTTTACAAAGTAACTAATTGATTTCTGATTGCTACAGGCCGATGTTGATGGGGATGGAGCTCTGAACTATGGAGAGTTTGTTGTTGTTACGGTTCACCTTAAAAAGATGGCGAATGACGAGCACTTACATAAAGCGTTTGCCTTCTTCGATCAAAACCAAAGTGGCCATATAGAAATTGAAGAATTGAGAAATGCTTTAACTAATGATGTTGACATAGGTGGTGAGGAAGTCATCCATGCGATTATGCATGACGTGGACACAAATAAGGTTAGAGTTACCATTTTGATACAATTAACTTAAAAAGCTTTATCCTTCATCCAAAACGTTTTATTCCAACACACATGCTTAAAATGTTTTCAGTCTCATTTTTTTTGTCGCTTAGAATGTGTTCACCTTCTAGTGAAAAGCGTTGAATCATGTTAAATGTTTTCAGTTTGTAAGATTACTTTGTAATTGCATTTGTTATGTGCATGTGTCAATTCTCGTAATCAAGTTATGTTTATGCATCGTTGATTCATTGTCATCTTGCAGGATGGACGGATAAGTTATGAGGAGTTTGCTGCTATGATGAAGGCTGGTACAGATTGGAGAAAAGCATCTAGACAATATTCACGGGAAAGATTCAACAGCATAAGCTTGAAGTTGATGAGAGAAGGGTCTTTTACAGTTAGCAATGAGGGTAGGTGAACCTACGTTCTTTTTTTTTTTTTTTTTTTTTTCGAAATAGCATTATTTGAAATTAAATGATGTTTAAAAAGATAAAGATTCCTTTGTTGGAGGGCTTATGAAATGAATTAATTTTTTCCCCATAACTATGAATAAGAGTAATTTATTTTTGAGGTAATTGCATGAAGAAAGAAAAACTACGAGTTGTAAAATGTCAATTAAAAGGCTTTTCAACTATAATCTTCCCCAACTTATGCATTTTTAATTTTTTTAAGACAAGGAAAGACCAAGTTTGATTTGTTTTAATTTTTGCAAAAGCTAGTTATTGTTGCTTAATTTGTTTAGTTTATAATGGTTGTGAAAATTTAATTGTAGCATGATGACCAAAACTCAGTTGTCGATGTGTTTTGAATGGGTATCAAATTCCTTGCCAAGGTGCAAACGATTCATGTCTGCTAGTTCTTCGGCAGACTCTAGTTGTCCATCAGGTCTTCATCAACCACCACGATTGCCATCTTACCTATCGCGAATCACATCTTGAAAAGAAGCTGTGCCGGGTATCCAAAAACTTAACCCTAAACCCAGCTTTAGGTATACAAGGTCTGCAACTGTTAAGAACCATGAAAAAGCCTGTGAGGGGAAAGGTTAAAAAAACAAGGGAGGGTTGGAATTGTTGTATATATTTCTCAGGTGCTTTTTCGATTTGGTAAATATTATTTGGTAGTTTTGTTAGAATGTAACAGCCGAAAACCCTGGATTGTAGGATACGTTGAAGCATAATAGAATTGTTGAACATTTTGATGGGAGAGAATTCTTTGTTTGGGAAACTTTGAGGACAGTACCTATGATGTATCTATTTGGTATGAGGTTTCAAGTATGAGGCTTTTAGAAATTCGTTAACAAGAAGGTGCTCCACTAAAATGTTCTTTTTTATTTATTTTTTTTAAGAACAAAAGTAAATATTATAAACCCCAAGTGGGAATTGAACTCTTTTATGACTCATTTACTAATCTGTAAATAAATTGAGGGGAATTAAATTGAGGAGGAAACAAAATTAGATTTTTGTTAAGTTTTTTACTAATCTATTTGGAATCGTAGGAAGAATGATGTTGGTTCCATATAAGTTACTTACTAATTCACTTGAATCAGAATTTTAATCTAATTACTAAATTGCCTTTATTCAAAAAATTATTTCATGCTAATTAATAAAATTAAATTTTATATCATTAAATCCATCTTTATAAAATTAATTAAGGACTCCTTTTTTATATATTAAAAGATGATTACATTTGCCCCGTCTCTATCTCTTCCCCACACCCCTATTTTCATCCTTTATCTTTTTTTTTTCCTAGCCACGCAACCTTCCTACCACCCCGGTCTTCCTCACCCCCTACCCCAATAGCTTGGCAATTCCCGGCCCAACGCTTAGCAAGCTCGTTGGAGGAGGTGATTTTGGTCTTGGTCCACTACCTCAGGTAGGAGTTTAGGCAATCGGATTCTGCACTGAAAATCCAGAAGGCGTTCAGGGGGTTCTTGGTGAGGAAAAGCATGAGGAAGATCGCCACCATCAGATGAGGTCGGTGAGATCGAGAAGTAGATTTCGAAGGGGGAGACGATAGATTTCAAAACGAAGCCTTATAACTTCTTGTTGAAGTTGGAGTCAGTGAAGGGCGTCGATTGTGAAAGATGATGACAACAAGAGGAACAGAAAGCTGCTGGATACGATGGTAGAAGGCAATGAGATGGCAGGGTATTTTGGGAAGAAAAGTTTGATTCCGGATAAAGCCTTCTCCTTATGATCCAAATACCACCCATATCTCTGTAATCTAATTCCGGAATTCGATTCTGCATATTAGGTAGACCCCACCCATTGTTTTTCAAGGAAAACTAATGAAAAGGACTTGAAAACTTTGAGTTTTAATGATAAAATAAAGGTAAAGTGAATAGTACCAAGATTGACTTTTTAGTGTAAAAATATGGTTTAAGTGAACAGTACCAAAAGCTTTTCGTTAAAGTTCCCTTATTTTTACTCACCAAATGTTAGTAAACACTGGAATGCGTCAAAAGTAGTGCAATTCTGTTTCTCCCTACTCTTGTCCCGTTTGGTAAACACACCATTATAGTATATAGGTTTCATTTTCACTTTCTAGGTATATTATTGTTTTTCCCCATTCAACGATGGTTGATATTAATGCTTATTTATTGATCTTCTATTTGAAATTGTAATTTAGTCTCATTTTACTCTCTTAAATTGATTTTATCTCATTTTCCCCACTGAAACTGTCATTTTCGACTCATTTAGTCTTAGTTCACCCCATTTTTATCCATTCTGTTAAATAGACATTAAATTAAAGGGTAGTGTGGACGTTTCATTTTTGACACCGGTAGAGATAAGCCACATGCTTTGCGACATGGCACTTACCTGGGATTTTGGTTGATTACAACATTTATTAGACTACATGTGAATTGTGGCAAGAAATTTGGGAAAATTAGGGTTAGAAAGGAATTTAGGCTTGCGAATCTAACTTGTGGGACCATGATTTTCTAGGGGCCCGAAGTAAGAAGGATCGGAATACTTATAATTAGTAGTCCAGTCATAGACTCAACGACTTCTATCACAAATTTGCAGGGACGAATTAGCTATACCACCATCATCCTGATCTAGATAAGTGAGCAAAGTCAGTCAACTTCATCGAGATTGACCATTCTTATTTTGCAAGATACAGAAACCTAATCCCGTATAGATTCAGCCATGTTTCTTATATTCTTGAATATTCCTACAATATAGGCATTTTGCATACGCCACAAGTAATCACACTCTTAAGATGATGCAATATCTACTCTTAGATATCATTTGGGATTCTTCCTGTTTGATATGGATTCTGTATCCTAAAAGGGCCCTCCTCGACTGGTATAAATACGCCATTCTAAGATTCATCTCTAGTAATGCAATAATTGCATACTCTGTTCTCTTACTTGCTGCTTGAGTTTCATATATTGCTTACAAACTTGAACATCGGAGAGCCTTTGGCCAACACGCCACTGTGCCAAGGTTACTTTACATTTTGTTCATTGTTTCACACTTAGTTGAGTTTGTGCATCTCCTCCCTTTATGGTGGTGCACGAATTTCATTTCAATAATTGATGCTTTCATTGAGAGTGAACCCATATACCTCGGACCAAATCACTTTACCACAATCATGTCTGCATAAGAAAGTTTAGTTAACACTGGCATTAACATCACAACGGAGAACAATCCATTGCCCACCATCTCTACTACTCTCGGCGTGAGCAATTAGGTCCCTGACACCTTGGCCATCTTAGGGAACACCAATGCTCCCAATGCTAGAACCCATCCCACCATGGATCAGATATTGAATACCTCACAGAATATCAAAATTGACGAGTTGTAGAAGACCTACACAACTTCTCTAGCAGATAACCACACTCCATTTGTTTGCAACCTAATAAAACTTAACGTAAGACTGAACTCCAATGGTAAGAACGATTTAGGGTCAGGTTAGGTTGACTAACAAAACTATCAAATTACCAAAGCATGGAGTGTGCACATACACCAATCTATTTTGGCAAAGTTGCAAGTAGTTCAATGAAACTCATAAGCCAGAACTATATCAACTAGGTACTAAGATTACGATACAATTTATTCATACCGAGTGTAATACTATGTATATTAGAAATTAATTATATAAACACCAACTTGTATTTGACACCATGGATGAGATGCAAGTCAGTCTTCTACTCCCACTACTCAATAGCTCCCTTATTGTGTAAATAGGTCTCAGTAATATCTTAGGGTTTTTCACACATGGGAGCAGGGGCTTGATGCGAACTAAGTAAGCACACAAATTAAAACATTCTTGTGACAATTGTAGTATATGAATAAGTAGGGATCGTTCTTAACCGGGGATTAGGAGGGATTGCAAAATCACTTGGAAACTAACTCAAAAACGTAAAATAAAGTTTGAAACACTAAACTAGACTCAAAGAATGCAAAACTAACAATAAAACACTAAAACAAATCAAAAGACTCAAAACAGCCCCCAAACACTCACAACTGCCTTAAAAAAACTTTATGGGCAGTTTTGAGCACTTTGGTGAATTTGGACGAATTTGGGTAATAAAATGAATCAAAACACTTATAAACACAAACTAAGACACTTTCTAACTAAATTGGACACAAAAGTAAAGGGGGATTGAGTTTTTTACGAAATTAATTAAAATGCACAGATTGTAAATTAGGGCAGATTCTAAATATGAATGTAATGAGAATATGGATGAATGCTAGCTAGAAGGTTCTTCTCCACACATGTCACACTTGCATACACTTTGATTTTCAGTTGGTCTTTCGATAAATTATGAAACTCAACACCCCGGGTTAATTAGGTCCGCTTAAATTAACCGTCAAGTTTTCCTTAAGTTAATGAATTGGATGGGTTAGCGCAACGCAATTCAAAACAGTCTCTAAAAGTCCTTTACGTGAAAAGCACAATAAAGATACAATCAAAGATCATTAAGCATCATGAAAACTATAAGTGTTGACGAGGCATTCGTTACTATGATGAGCATGAAACTAGTGCCAAGAATTCATTTAACGCGATTGTTTATAAGCAACCTCCACTACGTGTGAATATAAGTTCATAACTATTAGGTGAAACTCACTTATATTCTAGCGTCATATTCATGCATGAAAATTAAGCGTGCACTCTCAATAAACATACATAAATAAGTTATCAATCAAACAGTTAAACAAATTGAATCCACAACTTATGAAATTCCAACCAAATGTAATCAATTCATATTGCAAGCAATAACATGGTTTTAAATCACCCCCTAGCTAATTAGGGGTTTAGCCTCTCATGTTCACAGAAAGAGAAATACAATTGAATTTAAACATAAAGCACAAAGGATTGATTACACCTAGAACGCCCAACGAATCCACGTGAATTGGTGCGCGTCGAAGCTCCTCTTTCCTCTTCTCCTTGCTGCGGCAGAGATGGTTTTGGATGATTTTGGGTGAATTTCTGGGTTATAGATGGGTTTAGGGTGGTTTAAGGGTGCGGCAATGGTGGTAGAAGGTGGGGGATGGTGTGGAATTGTGTGAGGAGTGGTGGAGATGGTTGGGGCAAGGCTTGGAAGTGGCTGGAATGGAGGGGAAGGTGCACGGGTTTTGGGTTGAATGGGAGAGATTCTGTGATGGTGGCTGCGGATTGAATGTATGAGAGATGTGTGATGCACGGGTTTGAAGGATGAAAATGAATGAAAGGGGGGTGACGGCTTAGGGAATTAATTGGAGAGAGTGGCTGAATAGCTTAGGGTTAATGGGAGTGA